CCAGGAGCGCTCAACTCGCACCCTCGCTTGTGATGGCGTGATGCAACCATGGCACACAAAAGAGTCAGCGCGTCAACCAACCTTTGCGTCTGAGTTGCTTCGTGCGACCCAACGAGGGATGTGTGATAGCGCCTCAAACGCACAAGCAAGCAAGCAAGCACAGAAACCGGCTGGGTGTCTGAGGAAACAATCAAGGAGAGAAGAGCCGTCGTCAGCTTGTGCGTGTATGTTTGAATGTGAATGTGAATGTGAACGTGCAGCGCAATGGCCGGAACGTCAATCAAGCGCTGCTTGTGACTGACACGAACCACAGACACAACAACAACAACAAACACAAACGCAACCACCATACGGCGGCAGGAGAAAACGCGGGTTACTGCTGCACTCATTTTTTGTCTTGCATGGCATCATGTAATGTAAGGAAGAGCAGGTGCAACTCGTGTCTCTTTTCCGACGTTCTTCGTTCACCTTCCATGCCACTCGAGCGTGTTCGCTCACACAAGCACTCTTCCTCCGCCACGTACCACACTGTAGCGGCGTGTTGCTGGCAAGCAGTCCGTTGGCGTTTGCTTCTGGACCTACTACGCAATCCAAGGACAGGGTAGATAAATGGAGGAAGTCTTTCTTCAGTCTTCGACACCAGGTTTCTGTGCCCGCCTTGAAAGAGTTTTTGCGTTTGGGTGTGCGTGTGTGTCTGTGCTCTGTTTGTGTGCTGTCTGTGTGTGTGTGTGTGCTTGTGTGTGTGTGTGTGTGTGTGTGTGTGTGTGTGTGTGTGTCTGTGTGTGTGTGTGTGTGTGTCTGTGTCTGTGTCTGTGTGTGTGTGTCTGTGTCTGTGTCTGTGTGAGCATGTGTGCTTGCTTGTGTGCGTGTCTGTGTCTGTGTAAGAGCTTCAAATTACCAGAATTACATACAGTACAGTGTGCGACACAATCCAACTCTCTTTCTCCCTCCCTCTAAGTCTCCTCCCAACCGACCGAATCATCGAAGTAGAATCATGTATGCTCTTCGTCTACCCGTACAACCAATCAAAAGTCAAGAATGACACTAGCAACCAGCACAGCTACCCAGCCAACTAAACGCTTCCGAAGCGCCGTCTTGCCCCCCCCCCCTCCACCAACATTCTACCACTACCTCGTCCTCCTCATCCACCACGCCACCACTACGTACCTCCTCAAATTGCTTGCCCAACCCCCAATCCTCCCCCCCCCCACACACACACACACAAACACACGCACGCATTCATGAAGCAGTGAAGCAATCGTGCTCCACTCCACGGAGACTGCTCACGACGGGATGCAAAGGGTGTTGATGACAGGAATGGTCTCAGCACGAGACGGGATCAGGTACACTCGGCCGGTGGCTGGAACAAGCACGCCACCCGCGTACGCTGTGCCGACGGCATCAAACCCCGTGACGGTGGTGGTATCTGTGGTGTTGGTGGCCGGGTCGATGATCAGCGCCGACGGCGTGGAGAAGGCCGGGAACGCGAGGATGCGCCCGTCGTGCAGGAGCACGCCGCCCTGCCAGAACAGATTCGCAGACCCAGCAATGGCGCCCGTGTCCACTGCGTTGGTGGCGGGATCGATGATCAGCACGCCCGTGGCCTCGTACGGAATGCCGTAGATGAGGCCGTTGGCGCCGAGCACGCCGCCGCGCCACTTCTTCTGCATGCCGCCAAAGCCCCGGATGGTCGTGTTGTCTGCGGTGTTGGTCGCGGGGTCGACAATGAGCACCGCGTCTGCGTTGTAGGGGATGCCGTAGATGCGCCCGTTGCTGTCGGCGAGCACGGCGCCCAGCCACTTGTCGCTGATGACGCTGGTCCCAGCGCCACTCACAATGGTTGTGGCATCAGCGGTACCCGCAGCAGGGTCAATCACCAGCACGCTCGCCGCGTCCAGCGGCACGCAGTAGATGTTGCCGTTCGGCGCAAGGACGCCCTTTGTCCACTTGAAGAACGCAAACTCGTCATCCTCGTGTGCGCCGGACACGGGCATGCTCGTGCCGTCGACCGTGTTGGTCTCTGGGTCAATCACCAGCACGGACGGTGCCGTGACGGGACTGGCATAGATCCTGCCGTTGGGCGCAAGGACACCGCCGCCCCATTTGAACGTGTCCGTGCCCAGGTCCGAGATGGTCGTGGCATCCGCCGAGTTTGTGGACGGGTCAATGATGAGCACGGTGTCGCTCCTGAAGGGGGTGGTGTAGATGCGGCCGTTGTTTGCTAGCACGCCATCAGACCATTTTCTGTTGCCGCTGGGGACAGCAATGCCGGTCACGTCAACGAGCGTTTGCCGCTGACACACGCGAGCCTGCACGGCCTGCATGCGCTCCTGCTGCTGTTGCAGCAAGCCCAGCACATCCACGCCGTTCAGCAGCACGCGGCCACCACCTGCTCCATCAGCGCTTGTGTTGATGTGCAAGTTCCCGAATGTGTCCTGGTCAAACACCACCTCCGCCTGCGCCCTCTGATCTGCTCCCACCAACGCCATCAGCACCACCACCACCACCACCAGCGGCGGCAGCGGCGGCAGCACCAAGCCAGCGAAGCCGAAGCCAGCAGCAGAGGAAGCAGCGCGCACCCTCCGCATCATCATCATCATTGTCGTTGTTGTGGTGTGCGTGCTTCTTCTTCCTGCTCTTGCTTGCTTCTTGCGCTTGGTGTGGCGAGCTGCTGCGGTTTATGGCGTTGTTTTACAGCGACACGACACATAAAAACAAATAGCTCTGCAGCAGCAAGATGCTGACAATGGCGATGCGCAGTGGTGGTTTGCGTGGCACTGCTGTTCGCTGGCTGCTGTCGCAGCGACTGCGAGGTGGTGGTGGTGGTCACCATCGCTTCGCATCAACATTGTTGACAGCACAACAGAAGCCATATACACACATCCAACGCGGAAACTTTAACCAGGTCCTGCGGTTGTGCGTGCGTCTGCGTGTGTACGTGTGTGTGTATGTGTTTGTGTGTGTGGGTGTTTGTTTGTGTGTGTGCATCTGTGTACGTGTGTGTGTGTGTGTGTTTGCGAGGGAAGACATCCATCAAGAGCAAGTGCTCACATGATAAAACTGCACCTACCCACACACACACACACACACACGCACACTCAACTCGAGCAGGTGGAAGGCGAAGACCTTGCAGTGTTTGAGCGCATCTTGACCAGCAGTGGCGTCATCACGGACCACGCCGATGTGGACAGATACAACCAAGGTGACAGTACCGCAACAAAGTGTCGTGCTGTGTCGTGTTATACCTTGCCTGCATTGGCTGAGGGCGCTCTGTGGGTTTCTGAGGATTGGATTGGCTGGCACCGCTACCAAGTAGGCAGTACACGCTTTACTGTGAACCACTCACGATAGGTGTGCTGCTGGGTGTGCAGATTGGATGGGCAAGTTTCGCGGGCAGAGCACAGTGGTGCTGCGTCCCAAATCAACTGAGGAAGTGGCTGCCGTGCTGCGGCACTGCCATCAACGACGGTTGGCCGTGAGCACCCAGGGCGGCAACACAGGTCTTGTTGGAGGCAGCGTCCCGCTTTTCGACGAAATCATCCTCTCCACAGAGCTCATGAACGACATCATCAGGTGTGTTGTGTGACGTGTGCGTGTGTGCGTGCGTGTGTATGTGCGTGTGTATGTGCGTGTGTGTGTATGTGTATGTGTGTAAATGTGTGAATGTGTGTCTGGGTGCCTGCCTGGCTGGCTATTACTTGCGTGTGCCTTGATCTCTCTCCGTCTTCCTTGTGTGGGTTATTGTGCTCCATGTGCGTGTTGTGCTCACTCCTTACCACGCGCGTGCGTGCGGGCCCAGTTTGGATGACGTGTCACGCATCCTCACGTGCCAGGCCGGCTGTGTGCTGGAGCAACTCAACACCTACCTTGAGCCCCATGACCTCATGATGCCACTGGATCTCGGGGCAAAGGGCAGGTACGTCCCTGCACTTGGCTTTTTCCGTCTGCCTGCCTGTCGGTCGGTCTGTCTGTCTGTCTGTCGGTCGGTCTGTCTGTCAGCTCGTACATTGTGTGTGTGTGTGTGTGTGCGCTTGCCCCTCATCCCCGTCTCCCTGCTGCTACTGCTGCCATGACAGCTGCCACATTGGCGGAAACGTGGCCACGAATGCGGGCGGTCTCCGCTTCCTCCGCTATGGATCGCTCCACGGAACCGTCCTCGGCCTCGAGGTCCGCCGAGCAGAGCGGGGAGAGGGTTTGGAACGGTGAATGTCGAGCCTGTGCGTGCACGCATGCATTCGATTGTTTGTGCATATACTCGTGTGTGACTTGCGAACGTGGTTTCTGTCGTGTACACACACACACACACACACACGCACACGTCTGCAGGCTGTGCTGGCTGATGGGACGGTGCTGAACACGCTGTCTGGCCTGCGCAAGGACAACACAGGGTATGACCTGAAGCAGCTGTTCATTGGCTCGGAGGGCACGCTCGGTGTGGTGACGGGGGTGGCAATTGAGGCTGTGCAGCGGCCTGCTGCCACCAACGTCGCCTTCCTTGCGTGCAACTCGTACGAGCAGCTGCAGCACACGTTCCAGGCCGCAAAGCACCACCTCGGCGAGATCCTCTCCGGTGGGCACAGCACCCGTGCATGCATCGTGTGATATTGTGTTGTTAAAGGATGTGTGGGGAGGAAGGGCTGTTGCAAGGCGCTGACCGCACGTTTGCATTGCTCTGCGCATGATTGTCTGTCTTGTTGTGTCTTGGGCATCTGCCCATTTGCCCTCATCTCACCTATCTGTGATGACTCTCATGCAAACACAACTTGGGGCCCACCCCCTATGAATGCACCCCACCAGCGTTTGAATTCCTTGATGAGGGAAGCATGGACTGCACAACAGCCAACCTGGGCCTGTCGAGTCCTTTGCAGACCCCGGCCCCCTTCTACATCCTTATTGAAACGCACGGCTCTGTCCAGGAACACGACTTTGCAAAGCTTGAGGTACGACATCTATGTGTGTATGCGCGTGAGGTGTGCGTGCGTGTGTGTGTGTGTGTGTGTGTGTGTGTGTGTGTGTGTGTGTGTGTGTGTGTGTGTGTGTGTGTGTGTGTGTGTGTGTGTGTGTGTGTGTGTGTGTGTGTGTGTGTGTGTGCTGTGTTTGTTTGTTTGTGTGTATATGTGTGTGTCTGTGTCTGTGTCTGTGTCTGTGTCTGTGTCTGTGTCTGTGTGTGTGTCTGTGTGTGTGTGTGTGTGTGTGTGTGTGTGTGTGTGCAGGCAACGGCCCATGTGCTTCTTGCCAACGGGCCACTGCTCACCCACGCCCACTGCCGTGCGCTGCTGTGCTATGACTGCAAGGGCTTTCTCGAGACGGTGATGAGCGACGAGCTCGTCGTGGACGGGACCGTTGCACAGGACGCGGGTCAGGCGAGTGCGCTGTGGGGGATTCGCGAACGCATTACAGAGGCATTGCAGCACGATGGCACCGTCTACAAATACGACGTCTCTCTCCCGCTCCCCGTCCTCTACTCCCTGGTACGTGTGTGCCTGTGTGTGTGTGTGTGTGTGCCTGTGCTTGTGTGTGTGCCTGTGACTGTGTCTGTGTCTGTGTGTGTGTGAGGGCAACTCGTTTCCTGTGCACATGCGCACCCATTTGTGTTTGTGCATGCGCCTGTCCATCCTTAAACATTACATTCCTGACACCGCCTCCCCTCATCATCAGGTCAATGAGATGCGATCGCGCGTGGCGAGTGTCGCAACGCGCTGTGTTGGATATGGCCACGTGGGCGACGGTACGCAATTCCACACACACACACACACACACACACACACACACACACACACACACACACACACACACACACACACCGTCTGATCAGCACGTCTTCCTATATGATTGCGTTTGCACGTGCACACGCAGGCACGCACGCATACACGCGCACGCACACCACACACGAGCATGCACTCACTAGCAGACCTATGCACGTGCGTGTGCTGGTGTGCCAGGCAACTTGCACCTGAACATCACGTCATCGGAACCAAACGAAGAGCTCTTCGGCCTCATCGAGCCCTTTGTCTACGAGTTTACAGGTCGGTTGCATGCATGTCGTGTGAGTGCTGTGTTGCATACTGTGTTCGGTGTGTTTTGCATCTTGTGTGTTGGGTGTGTATTTTGTGTTTTTTTTTGTGTGTGTGGTTTGCCTGTGCATGTGCTGTCGTGTGCATGTGTGTCTTTGTGTCCTGCCTCATGTGTTGTCCGCAACAGAACACCTCACCACCATGCGTCTTGTTGCGTGCGTGCTTGCTGTGTTCACGTCAACAACAGCAAAGCACCGTGGCTCCATCAGTGCAGAACACGGCCTGGGCGTCATGAAACCCCACCACATTGTAAGCACGCTTCATGTGTGTATGCGTGTGTTTTTCTTGCGTTCGTGCGAGTCTGCATGCGCACGCGCATAGCTATCGTCAAATGACGTGAAGTGAACATGACACCGATTGCAGCACTACTCCAAGCCCGCGGAGGCCATTCACCTCATGAAGCAAATCAAAGGTTCGCTGTGGCTAGGATGGGTGTGGCGTTTGTGTTGCATTCAAGTTTATGACATTGGAGAGGTGATAGGCCTGCTTCTTGCTTGCACCCACTCACGCGCTTCTTTCCACACACACACACACACACACACACACACACACACACACACACACACACACACACACACACACACACACACACACACATACTCGCACACACACACACACACTGACATGTGCTGTGCAGCCCTCATGGACCCACATGGCATCCTCAACCCTTACAAAACCATTGTGTGATGTGATATGACACGTGACGTGACAGCGGCGCGGTGGTGGCAAGCCGCCTACGTGTTACTTTACAATTGCAATGTTAATGTGAAATGAGAGTGAGCGACAACAAAGTCCGGCGTCTTTGAAACAATTAAATTGCCTGTTGAGGGCATGATGCAAGATTGCGTGTGTCATGGAGCCAAAACGACCATCACGAAGGCTAAACGTCTCGGTCATGAACGTCTCATTGCGCACAATGACATGACGTCACAATGATGTCGTGGTGTGAAAATGTGTGACAACTCCACATCATCGCAGCACAAGCTTGCTTCCCACCACCAGCCACCACCGTTCATTTCTCTGCGGCCTCCCACCTTCACATACACCCGCCTCCATCTCCATCACCGCCGCACTGTTGAAGCATGCCAGCTCCCTTGAGCTTGCTTCCATCGCCCCGCACCGCTTTTCAAGTGTTTACCATCTCCTCGGCTGTTGCCCTCGTATCCTACCGTCTTCTGCAAGCCTCAGCGTCCACAAACATGCCCGTCGTCAGCGCAGGCGTTGTCAACGACCAAGCCCACCTCACCGGCAAGACGCGTGAGGAGGTGTTTGAGTACCTGGCCAACTTTGACAACATTGCGTCGTGGGACCCGGGTTGCCTCAAGTCCAAGCGCGTTGACAGCGGACCCCTCAAGATTGGCTCATCCTTCGACCTGGTCACAGTCTTCAAGGGCACAGAGTCCAAGATGACGTGAGTGCAGTTGTGTGTGTGGGGGGGGGGGCATGCCAACGCAGGCAGATGCCCTCCCATGTGCGTGCAACTGGCGACCTCGTCAACAGTGTACGTGTGTGTGTGTGTGTGGATATGGATGCACGGCATACGCACTCACACACGACCCTTGTACCCCCCCCTCCCTTCTCTGCTCCTGTTGCCCCCTGCCAGGTACACAATCACAAAGCTCGATGCACCGAACGAGGTGGTGCTGGAGGGTGAATCTGCCATGGTGCGGGCCATTGATACCATCAAGGTGCTCCCATCCCCTGACGATCCAAACAACGTTGTCGTTGATTACACAGCCGACCTCTCCCTCAAGGGCTGGCGCCGGCCCTTCATCCTCTTCCTCAAGAACGACCTCAACAAGCTCGGGAGGGATGCCATGGAAGGATTGGAAAAGGCAATCAACCCCAAATAGGCCGTGTGTGTGTGTGTGTGTGTGTGTGTGTGTGTTGTTAACGGTATGTTCGCGGCATCATGCGCGTCGACACAGTGCTCTGGGGCGCCTGTGCCACGACAACTTGTGTGCGTGTGTGTGCATCGCTGTTGACGCCATGCAGTTATTAACACGAGGCGTGGAACCGCGTGCTTGAACAGCCAAGGCTTTCGTCTCTATTTCTCTCTATTGTGCATGACTCGATGATTGGCAGCATGCTGCCGCTGTTAACAACACAAACAAACGCAATGAAATGACTACCAACAATGGCACCAGCGCAGGAAAGCCATGGCGCTGCAAACGTAATGCGTAATGTAACACAGTCATGGCAATGGGAAGGGTGTAGATGTAACATGACACACACACACACACACTCACACACACACACTCGACCGCGTTCAAATGGTGATGAAGATTCGTTTCAAGAAGAGGTAACGGGCCAGCAGCATCCACACGCCAATGTACGCCAGCGTCCACAGCATGACCTGGTAGTTGTATGTCGGCTTGAATGGCCGCTCATCACCGTCGCCCCAGAACACACCCGTCGGCCACAGAATATTCGCCAGGTTGTTCTCCTACAGGTTTTCAGGGGAATGGAGGGGGAAGAGAGGTGTGTTGGATGAGGCGAGTTGCGATAAGAGCAGACACCACGCAAGAGTCACGCAAGAGTATGCGCGTGCCAGTATGGACATGCAGACAGAGAGAGAGACAGAGAGAGAGAGAGAGAGAGAGAGAGAGACAGTGAGAGGCAGACAGACAGACAGACACACACAGACACACACACACACAGAGACACACACACACACCGGCTTGTTCCAGTAGAATGCGGCCAGGACGTAGGGGATGATGTCGCCCTCAGCGCAAAGGTACATCACAATGGCGTTCATGCCCATGTATCTGCACCCGCTCCACGCCCACTCGCCCACGTGCAGGCGATCAACGATGACATAAAACAACGCAAGCAGCACCCCGCCTGTGCCAGCTGTCACGAGCGTGTACGAGATGGAGTACAGGTCTGACAACGAAAGGCATCGCATGCGTTCGCGTGTGCAAAGAGGAGATACATCCATGTGTGTGTGTGTGTGTGTGTGTGTGTGTGTGTGTGTGTGTGTGTGTGTGTGTGTGTGTGTGTGAGTGAGTGTGTGTGTGTGTGTGTGTGAGTGCGTTGCCATGCAGCGCCCGACATTTTTTTTTTGAAGCACAAGCACGCAGCAATCACATTCCTCTTCCCAAGCAAACACACACACGCACACGCACGAACACGCGCGCGCACCTGTGTTCATGACGAATGCGCCAGAAAAGTGGAGGGCAAAGCCGATGACCAACTGCACAACACCAAACGCCGTCCAGTGCACAATTCGCGCCTTTGGTGACTGCACTCGGCGCAGAACCTGGCATGTGTGTATGTGTGTTGGGTGTGTGGGGGGGGGGAGGCGGGGGCACGTAAGTGTCATGGAAGATTGGGTCCGATGAAGCAAGACTGCTGCTGAGCAAGCTTGAAAAGCGAGATACCATTGTTCAAACACACACACACACACATATGTGAACTCACGTGACCGTAGTGAATGCCGATGACGGTTGCGATGATGGCGTTGAGGGAGGAAACGAGGCCCTCCGGGTCAAAGGGGCCGTGCAGACACCACGCCGGAGCATCCTCGGGCGGTACGCACTTGCCGGGCGAGCACGTGCTACACTCGGGAAGACGCTGGAAGGTCACGTCGTTGCCGCTCTTGTCGCCTGCACCGAGCGCAAATGGATTGAGGAGGAGGGAATGGGGGGGGGGATGTTGGGTGACGGAGAGTCACGGAGGGATGAGCAACAACGGGGGGGGGGGGTGTTGGCGGTTGAATTATCGCACGGACAGGAATCGACGCAAACCTATACGAACACAATGAAAGCTCAGGTATGCCCACCTGAAGACACACAGACACAGACACACAGACACAGACACACAGACACACACGCACGCACACAGAGACACGCACACACAGACACGCGCACACGCACCTCCGTTGGCGGGAAAGTACATGTGCTCAACAGTGAGCACGTTGCGATCAATGTAGGTGGCGGCGTTGCAGGCGGGGGTGAGCACGCCACGCCCACACTCTTCTCCAAACGCATCAGGGACATTCACGCCATACATGATGCCCGTGTGCGTCGCAAACAAGCACGCAGCCGTGAACCAGTGCCACTTGTACCGCCACAGCATGTGTAGCACATCCACGGCCCACCCTGTGTGTGTGTGTGTGTGTGTGTGTGTGTGTGTGTGTGTGTGTGTGTGTGTGTGTGTGTGTGCAAGGGAACAAGAGGTTATTCTTGGACATTGGGAGTAGACAGACTTGATTCTGCTCACACATTACCATAAACAATCACAGACACAGACGCACACACACACACACACACACACAGACATGTACACATACACACACATACACACACACACAGACACAGACACACAGACACACACAGACATGTACACATACACACACACAGCACGACCTACCTGTGACGGTGTCAGTCTCGTTGTAATTGCGGTATTTCTTGTTCCTTGGCAGGAAAATCTCCATGAGGGCCACAGCGTAGTAGCAGACAGCAACACGCTGCAAGATGCCCATGATGCGAATGTGCGCCAGGTCGTAGTTCATAATGTCAATACCGCCTTGTGTCAGCATGCCGAGGATAAACAGCTTCAGGAAGCGGATTGTCGCTTTGCGCAGCGCAGGCCATACGCGCGGCGTCGTCGTCGCGTCTGTTGTTGTTGTTGTTGTTGTTGTTGTTGTTGTTGTTGTTGTTGTTGTTGTTGTTGTTGTTGTTGTTGTTGTTGTTGTTGTTGATAGTGGGGTGAATGCGGGTTTGTGATGGTGATGTGTTCTCGTGCACGAATGTGTGACAGAAAAACACACGCACACGCACGCACGCACACGCACACAAATACACACACGCACACACACAAGCCTTCAAACAAACAAACAAAAAAAAAACAAAAAAACAACACCACACACACACAGGCATCCACGACGCACAATTACGCTGCACCATCACCTTCGAGGTCAAACTTCTTAAAGGAGAGGGCGAGGGAGACGCCGACAATAAAGTCGAAGAACGGCATGACGAAATCCGCCAGACGAACGCCATTCCACGGCGAGTGGTCGATTGGAGGGAACGCGGCACCCGTCTCATCCACTGCACGCGTGTGTATGTGTGTTCATCGGTGAAGGAGGCAGCAGCTGAGCACGACAAACACACGCACACGCACACGCACACGCACACACACACACATATGAAAGAGCGGTGGCCACATCGTGCAATGCAACATCGAGGACAATGACAATGGCAGTTGTGGCTGTACCAAAGACCATGAGGGCAACAGTGAATCCGCGAAAGACATCCAGACTCGACAACCGCTCCTTTGGCAGCGACCGCTGATCGATTTGTTGGGGGAGGGATGGATTGATAAGGTGGGGCAACGTCGAACGTCGAACACACCCGTTGTGCAAAGACACACACACACACGCGCGCGCGCGCACGCACGCACACACACACACACACACACACACACACACACACACACACACACACACACACACACACACACACACACACACACACACACGCACACACACACACACACACACACGCACGCACGCACACACACACGCACGCACGCACGCACGCACGCACACACACGCACGCACGCACACACACACACGCACACACACACACACAGACACACACACGCACGCACGCAGACACACGCACAGACACACACACACACAGACACGCAGCAGACCTGTGCTGGTTGGGCGTCAAGGGTTCCCCGGGCTGAGGCCGATGCTGCCGTGTTTGACCGAGAGCGGGCAGCCGCCACTGCCGCTGATGATGACGATGTTGGTGGCGGTGGCGGTGTTGCTGCCATGCGACTGGCGCGCGAGAACGACGATGAAGCAGGACGCGTGTCTCCAACAGCAAGAAGTGGCACCTCGTCCTCATTTGTCTTCGCGTGCTGCACTGAACCTGCAGCACACGTGTGTGTTCGCGATGACAGGAAACAAACACATGACAGAGAGAGGTAGTATATGTGTGTAGGTGTGTGTGTGTGTGTGTAAGTGTGTGTGTGTGTGTAAGTGTGTCGTGGAGAAGTTGGGTGAGGTGCACTGTGATCACGTGTGTGTTGCGTGGCAGTGAGATCAAAACAGACACTCGCATGCAATTCACCTGCGGTGCCTGCAGCCACTGATTGCGCATTGAGTGTGTCGTCGCGTCCGCTGAAAAACACAGTGTGATTGCGCCACGTTGGTATGTATGAACGATGAGCCAAGGTCGTGCATGGTACACATCACACTTCAAACGCACGTGTCAAGCCACGTCTGCCCAGGAATGACGTGATGCAATGCGACTCACCGCACGCGAAAGCCAACGCCGAAGCAGGCGGCAAAAACCCATACAACCGCGACGCCCAGCAGGAATATGAACACCAGCAACGCTGCAATGCGCGGTGGAAGAGATGGGAACAGTCAATGCACTTGAGCTGTCAGTTTCACACTGTTGCGTGCAC